GGGGGATTGGTTCAATAATTTTACTGACTTTAGTTTTACTCTTCAACTAGCATCTAATTTCTCCTTACCATATCATCCCTGAATCCAACGTGTAGGTCATGAGAATAAAGAAAATGATCACCCTTAAAAGATGATCTTGATTGTTAAACAAAATCTCCTTTGTCAGCTCCTTATGACATGTATAGAGAACAGTATGAAAAATATGCAAATTGATGTTGTTAAGGGTTAAATGAAAGCTGTGAGGTTTTCTCACCTGTATATGTCTTCATGATCCTACAGGCTTATTTGGAGTTCTTTACCAGCGAAGAAATTGCAATGTGCCTCTATGAAGTTCTTCAAGACTATCCTATGGTTAATTATCACATTGTGAACTTCTCGGTGAGCGATTTTGAATCGTGGTTTTGTTTTAGAGCAGTTTTCAACTGGTTGTCGAAAAGCCAAAACCAAATAAATGACAACTGCCAATCAGAACAAAGGTTAAAATCAGAACTATCCAATGAGAACTCAAAGGAAAAATACCCGCGGGTGACCAAAGTGGGATTGACCAATCACAGAGCGAAGTCAGTAGTAATTCAGAATCACTTTCTATACTTAATTGAAAAGTGCTCTATCAGTTCATCGTTACAATGAATGAAGATTTTTTTTTGCGGAGTAGTTGGTTTCAGACAAGTTGCAAGCTGTGCTTTAAAGCTTTAAACCGCGCGTTGTTAGCTCACTTTTTGGAGCGTTGGACTGCAGTGCGGGAGGTCGAGGGTTTAAACCTCAAACCGTACCAACCTTCAGGGTCTTGAAATAACTGAGGAGAATGTGCTGCCTTTGCCATGAAATCCGTAAATGGTTAGAAATTATAGTCTTCTCGGATAAGGAAGGTAAACCGTAGGCCCTGTCTCCTGCATCTACTCTGTGCTGGTTAGCAGGGGACGTTAAAGAACCCACACACTTATCGCAAAGAGTAGGGAACGTTAGTTCCCGGTGTTGTGGTCTGGCCTTGTTGTTGTTTATACAGGTCCCCATTTCAAACCAGCGTCATGCTGAACCGGGTCAGCCTGTCTAAATATCGCAAATGCAAAAATAGGAAATACTATTGGGGACAAACCCGTTTAAACGGGAACCAAGTTCCTAAAACTCCCCCAAGAAATCTTTTTGACTTATTTTAGTCATCGTAAGTTATGATCCAGAGAAACGACTTTGTCGCACGTGTAACGCCAGTAACTGTCATTGTCACGTAATTTAATCTCAGGGAAAGGAAGACGTGACAAACGCGAACGTATACTCTTCCAATGCTGTCACGTGGGGTGTGTTTCCAGGATCAGAGATACTTCAACCGACTGTGGTGGATCCTATTGCTTTTCAGTTTTGGAAGGTAAGGACTTGTCCCTTCGTGTGTGTGAAACCAGGATGATGTGTGAAAATATTTTGACTTTCAAGAGCGAACTTCAATTGAATAGAGTGCTTTTCGATTGCGTGTCGTAAAGCCAAAACCAAAGCTATCACAACAGCCAAACAGAAGAGAGAAAAATACCCTGAAGAGCCAATGAGAACTCAAAGTAGAAACAAGCAAACTACCTAAAGCGCGGGTGACCAAGTTGTGATAGGTTCTTTTTTAGTTTTGCATCTAATTGGTTGAGCGAGTGGCGCGAGTTTTCTGGACCAATCACAGAGCGAGTAAAGGCAAATGCGTAGAAATCCCGGATTTTTGTCGAAATTCAATTGAGAACTGCTCAATCATAAAGCCGACCAAAGTTGGGCAATGATGAATCAGAAGTAAAAAGAACATATCAAGTAACCAATAAGATCTCAGTAACGTAACAACAAGCAAATTGTACAAAACGCGCGAAAACGTAAGTAACCGCGTCGAGGTTGGTTTTGGTTTTGTATCTGATTGGCTAAGTATTCTCACACAAGTTACAAACAGGCACCCAAGCCAGTAAGTCACGGCGATTCAAAAATGCATAAATGTCTTGGTAAATCAACAGGATACCCCTATTTTTGTTCCCTTTGTACCGATTTCTATCAAAGTTTCAATGTTTTTTCGCTTTGTTGCTGGACAGCGGTTTTTCCTTATGTTTTCTTATGAAATTTTGCGCGGGAGACTTGCGTGCAGCCAGCCAGAATTGATCCTCCGCGCATGCTCGACAGGTAGTTTGACCGCTGAGTTATCACAAAGCAGCTAAAAGAATGTCGTTGCTGTCCCGACCCAATAGGAAAATTGCACTCCTCCCACATGCGCGGACAAAGCGAGATTGTTTTTTCAGCAAGAGGTCCTCTCCATGTCACGATCTCTTGATATTCTCTTTCGCTTTTTTTTTGCCATTTTTAGGACGAGGCGTTCGCTCTATGGAAGCATCAGTGGGGACATATTTATTCCGATAAATCTCTCTCGCGTGGGATAATTGACACCATTCATGATACGTATTATCTTATAAACCTGGTTGACAATGACTATGTGGCTGGAAATATCTTATTTGATATTCTGGACATAGTGTTGAAAAAATTAGGCAAAATATAATGTACGGCAGTACACTGTTGGGATTGCAAGAAGTGGTACGAGTTGTCATTCTTGCCTTGTGCAGTAGTAAGAACAGGGTGTTGGGGAGTTATTTGTCTTTTCATGATTGTGATGCAATAACATACAATCATTCTTTAACTCAAAATCTTGAATACCTGTTGCTAACCGAGTTCGAGGTCCGTGCTCTAGGTCACGGACCGAGTCGCGTGCGGCTCATAAATCTCAGCGGAATGAACGAAATTTTATGAGGTAATTTGCGCATTGAGCAGAAGCATCGTTATTTTTATCTCGATCCTACATGGTTCTAGTCTTTGACAACTGACATCGGAAAATTAGAAACGAATTAGATATACTATGAGCAGTCCCTCTTTTTCAGCAAAGTCCGCCGCGCGAGTTAAAAAAAAAATAAGCATAGATAAAGAAATGATGTTAGTGCGCCGCGCGGAACTCTGGAAGTGGGGCGCATTTAAAGTAGCACTCCCAGAGTTCCGCGCGGTACGCCAACATCAATTTTTTTTCCCTCGAGATTTTATTTTGAGTTGCACGACGGACTTCGGCGATAAGGAACGACCGTTCGTAGTCTGCCAATTAATAAAACTGGGAAATGCTATGTGACTTTCATATGAATTTATTTGAATCATTTGAATTGATTTTACCCGAGGATTGTTTCATGAAATCATCACGAGAAATTTACAAAATATAACGTACACAAGAAGAGGGTAAAATGCTGGACTGATTGTAAATAGAGTAAATGGAAATTATGTTTAAAAACACCTTCACAAACATCTAATGTATATCCGGTCATTGACAAAATCTTTAAAAGATGATCATGAACAGACGTGAAGATTCTTGAAATAAAGAGGTTCTAAAAATTATTTTGTACTGAATACATGAAGATTCTTTTTTTGTAACCTGGCACCGGGCCCTCATTACCAGCGTTGCTGGAGGCGCGCTTCTCTGCCCGCTAGAAGGTTGGAGACAAGTCTGGGAGTGGTTTGCCGGGGGTCTGGCGCTAGTTCTAGATTCCTTTACAGACCTCTCGCCGGCTCGCGTTGTTCAAGGCCTCATACTTCGCGCAGGCAAAGAAACGCACGTGCTGAAGCGCTTGTAACGTAAGCCTGTTGGCAGACTTTTCTCTCATGGTTTGGTCTTCAGTTAGCAAACGCTGCGCGAAAATAGTCCCCGTGTTTTGTTTCATTTACCCCGATCGACGGCGTAAGCTGGGACTAGTGGAAATCTGCAGTGAAGACATGGGACCCTCACACTTGTGTCATAAACTACGGCAATAACAACAGCGTCAATCATAAGAAAAAATAAATAACTGGTGTATGTGTGTCAACAGACAACAACTCTGGAACAATTTTTCGAAGTACCGAAGAGCTTCCAGTGGTCGAGGGCCAGCAGAAACCCATGATGATTGTAGAATCTCTCTTCGTTTCGCCACTTTGGAAAGTTTCTCCGATATTCTCGATACTATACAGCAGTGTCTCGGAAAGCAAAGAAGTGCAGCGCGAAAGTAAATATCGTAAGCTTTGCTGCGTTTTAGTAAATTCGTCGATTGGAAGAAATGGTCTCTTCAGTCGCTTGTTTGTGTGAAAGTACACAGTTTTTCTCTTTGTTCGTGTGATTTAAAGCAGGTTGATTGTAAACAAGTGGTCGTCGCTAAAAGGTGCTTTCTCTATCGGAGTTTCTAAAAAAAAGCAAGGAAACGTCAGAAGGAACGAAATAATGTCATAGAACGATAAGATCTCGCCCCCTTAGGAAATTAACCAACATGCCTTTAATTCAATCTGCAAATTAATCGTGATGCGTTAGCTAAAGGCAGGAGAAGTCACTTATCTTCAATAGTGTAATTCCTAAAATGATGTCAGCAGTTTTTATGTATTTGAATAAAGTGCATGAACTTTAGAATACTGGTCGAGAATACCTTGTCTGCATTCCGGTCCAGTCCATCCAGGTCGGCACTTACATTTCCCGGTCAGTGAATCACACAGGCCTCCCTGGCCACAAGAGCAGCCCAATATACATCCAGGTCCATACTTTCCTCTACAAACTGAATTGAACTTATGTTATCGATGACGGTTCCACGTACCAAATTCAGCTTATGACAGTGATGTGAATTTCTTATACCTGGGACTGCGGCTTGGTTTTGACCCAAACGGGTCTGTTGAGTGTAACTTTAACCCTGGTAACCCCCATGAGTGACCAACAGAGGATTTCTCCTCACAATTCAAGGCGACATTATGCAGTAAATGGTTTGAACCCGGTGGTAATAGTAATAGTAATAGTAATCAAAGTTTAATATCTTTACGTGGGGCATGGTTACCTATATTGCCCGAGCCAGAGGCTCATGTATAAAACGCAAGACAACAACCCACCCATCCCACCCCAGGGGAGGACATCCATCAGACAGTAATCTCGTGCGTGGGAAATTAACGTCTCCTACCCCTAACCCTGCAGGAGACGGGATCTCCATTTATTCGTCCCTATCCGAGAAGACTAGAACATCTAAACCGTTTTTTTGATTTTATAGAAAGGCAGCATATTCTTCTCAATTATTTTAAGACCTTGAGTGTTGGTCCGGCCGGGGCTCGAACCCTCGGCCTCCCGCACATCAGTCCAGCGCTCTATCCATTGAGCTAACCGGGAGGCGGTAACATGTGAAAGTGTTGTGTGATCGTCCGGGTGGGTGTAGTCCTGAGAAGGACTATTGTCGGTGGTGGCGACGGACGTTTCGACGACCTGTGTGGAGGTCATCATCAGAGTCAAGTGAATAGTTGTTGTCGGTAGCATGTTCTTAGTCCAGTTCGTGTAAAATGATTGGTCAGTTTTGCCGTGATGTTATTGACTGTAAGACTCAAAAAGTCTTACAGGACTACACTCAGCCGGACAGTCACAATACACTTTCACAAGACGACATTAAACAGAAAAATGATGACGGTAGAAAAACCTTGATTAGGGGATTATTATTTGATCAAATACAAAATCTCCGAACTAACATCGTAAGAGTTGTATGGCATTTTCAATTATGTTAATTACGCAACACGCATGGCATTACAGTCATCATACACTGAAGAACCTACCTTGATTACAATTAGTACCAGTCCGCCCGCTCGGACACTCGCACTGTCCAGTAGCAGCATCACAAAAAGATGAGTTCGCGCATGTGCAGAGGAGCAAACATTCAAAGCCATATCGCCCCACAGGGCATCCTGACAGAAACGTAAACAAGACAGACATTGAAGACAGATTGAAATCAGGTTATCCACGATAATGAATTAAGTTTCGATTGTTATTTTGGGCCTTTAAAGCTCACCCAAAATAAAATCGTAAACACGAGTGAGAACAAACGTATAAAAGCAAGAAGGCAAAGAGAAATCAGAACGGAAACAAGCAGACGACCCGGAGCGCGGGAAAACACGAGCTACCAATCAATGGTTGGTTATAGTTTGCATTTGATTGGTCGAGTGGGCTCGAGTTTACCAGCCCACCAATCAGAGAGCGAAGTAGGAAAAACCAATGACATCACGGGTCATTTTCGTCACTTTAATGAAAATTGCATCTAGGACTGAGAAAACAAATTTTGATCCACCCATGGCAAGTTGCGAGGGGGTAGGGATGAGAGAAATACATACGTTTGGTGCAATCTCTTCCAGACCACCCCGGTGTGCAGAAGCACTCTCCTGTTCTCGGGTCACATGATCCACCATTCATACATTTGCAGTGTCTAGTGCAGTATGTGCCATATCGGTCAGGTGGGCAACCTAATGTAAATAAAAAAAATTAACAAACAACAACAAAAACAACAACAAAAACAATAACAAATACGATAGATACAACTACTCAAACGATGAACGGGGCATTGAAGCTCATTAACTAAAAAATTTCCACTTACGATATTGACATCTGTCCCCATACCACCCTGGAGTGCAAAAACAACAGCCGGTGATCTTATCGCATCTTCCTGCGTTTCTGCACTTACACCTCTGTTCACAGTTCAGACCATAATTCCTAGAAGAGCATTCTGTGAAGACGTAATCGAGTAGAAAAGGGCTCTTTATGTGATGTACCATTAATTGAGTTAAAAGGTCTTGTAACAGTGTTGAGCGACAAGTTGAAGGGTGAAAAACGATGCGTTCACGAAAGGTGTACAAAAATGTTCATGGGCTTGGCACTGAATGTCTGTGACGACAAACACCGTGCCAAGTAAAGAGGGTAACAATATTTCCAAATTGTTAGTCAATGGACACTGCTTCATTTTAAATTTGTTACATTTTACCTCTTTATATTATCTTCGTTCGCAGTTTTTTTCTCTTGAGAAGAACAGAGAGTCTCTGGAAGTGAAGTTGGTATCCAGTAGCGAAATATTGCATATTGCACTTCATGGGTTTATTACGAACCAACAAAATAACCAGTTTTTCAGAATGTGTTTTATGCTGAATTGAGAGAAAAAAAGAGATGAGTTAAAATGTTGAGCCTTTCTTACCTTTTTCGCAGTTAGTCCCAGTCCATCCCAATCCACAGTGACATTTACCGTTTACGTTGTCACAGATGGCATCATTCTTACACGTGCATTCAAACTGACAATCTTGTCCAAACCAACCACGGCGGCACACTGTAAAATGAGAGATACCTTGTTTAGGTTGCATTTTAAGTGATATGTTGGGCCCAGTCTCCCTAAGGATAGGTTGTAATGAGAGCAATTTGGAGCGCTTTTCGAGCGGATTTCGTAACACCAAAACCTAAGTCCTCGTATCAGCCAATCAAAATAAAGAGAAATATCAGATGTAACCAATGATAATTTAGAGCTGAATTACGTAACCAGCGTGAACGGCGGGAAAACGCGAGTGACTATATGTGGCGACTAATTTTAGTTCAGCGTCTGATTGGTTAAGAGTGGCGGCAGCCTCATTAACCAATCATAGAGCAAAGCAAAAGCAAAGCCATCCCAGAATGGTTTCGACACAGATTGAAATTGTTCTATCAAGTGAAATGCATTTTCCAAGAAGCTAACATTTTCGAATATGAAGTCTAATCGTCCACCAGACGATATTCGACCAATGTATGATCGTCCCTTACCTCTCTCGCAATTTACTCCCTGGTATCCTGGATGACAGTGACATTTTCCATTCACGTGATCACAGATTCCATTGTAGCAGGCACATTTCTGCTGGCAACTGGGGCCAAACGTTCCCGATGGACAAACTTATGAAAGAAAATAAGGAAAAACAGGTATGCTTTTGCTTCATAGTTTGAATAAATATAGATTGATTGCAAAGATCACCCGCCACTAGGGACAACTAAAAGTATCACTGAACAGTACTACTGAAAGCATCAGCTTAAGTGAAGGAATAATTTTATTCCGGAAAAGGGCAGAAATTACTTTTGCATTTTGTCCCATTTGTTTTTTATATACTGATCTTGCTTTAAATGTGCAAGTAGAGGGAATGATTTTAAATCTTACACAAATAGTCAATGAAGCATCGAACTGTGTAAATTTTTTAGTGTCTTCTGATCCTGGCATTAGATGTACAGCTTGCCTTTCAGCTTTGAACCCAGACTCGTCCCCTCTCACTGTTTTAAAATCAACGAAGAAAGCGCGCGAGAGGTGTTTCTAACGAAAAAGGGAAGGGTCATCTCTCTTCCCTTCTTCCTTCCCATCGTCCTTCAGTGGTAGACACGAAAATCAAATAAAAAGATAAGGAAATTTTTTCCCGACTTTACCGTGTTCACACTGACTTCCTATCCAGCCGGCGTGACATCGGCACTTCCCCGTCTCAGGGTCACACTCGGAATTCTCTGAACAAGTGCAGTTGAACTTGCAGTTGTGGCCATAGGTGCCCCTGCGACAGGCTGGTATCAGAACAAAAGGTCAAGTTTACATAGCAATAACTTTTGACTGTAACTCTCAGGAAATTGTGAATTTTTTAGCGAAAAAAAGGAATGTGAACAAGTAGCGATGTAATATACTAAATCCAGTTATTTTAAAATGACTAGTAACCTAAAGCGATAATGCTATTGACTGTATGACACAAGTGATGTAAGTCGGTCGTGATTGGTCAGTTTCGATCTGTTGATAACGATAGTTCGTTCTGTGCGGATCGCTTGTGGTGTAAATATCATGAATAAGTCGTCTGTATGGTGGTGGTAGTTGTTTAGATCAACCACAACAACATGGAGGAAGCCAGTGCTGTTTCTCTGATTGGTTATAACATGTTTTGAATATTCAATTCATCAGCACTCTCAATGAATGTTATATACTATACGTACACTTCTGGCATGATTTTCCGTGACTTCCAGGTTTACATAAACATTCTGCTGTGTATGGATCACACATCACTGAAGAAGAACAGCTGCATCTGAGCGAGCAGTCAGCACCATGTCTGCCTGAAGGACAAACTGTTTGGGAAATTTAAAAAGAAAACTCTGTAGGAATAGTTTTTACAGAATTTTGAGAGTTTTGAAAACGCTCAGTAAATTAACGCTTTAGGTCGGTTCGGGAGTTGAGCTTAAGTCAGCTTCGCACCATTGTGGTCTCTCAACCTGGAGCCTGACTAAGGTTTAATGGGGTAATGCGATAAGGAGTATAATAATTGCAACTCCCCCCTGGACAGGGTGCCTGCACATCGCAGACTGCTCCCAAAGTTACACTCAGCGTTTCGAAAGGGCTCCCTAGCAGTTTGCTTGCACCCATTTAAGACCTTCTCCCCCCTGATTTAGAGTAGTGGAGACAAGAAAAAGTCTCGCCCAAGAACACAACATGGTGACTATTTGGGGTCGAACCCAGACCCTTTAGATCTGAAGTCGACAGCAACAATCATCGCGTCAGCCGAGTTCCAGTAATTTTATTTCATACGCACCTCGTTTACATTCGCCTGTCGCAGCGTCACACCTTTCATGTCTGGTGCAATTACATTTCCTGCTGCAGTTATCACCGAAAAAGCCCTTTTGACAACCTTTGAAGAAATGAAACAAAAACCAAAAGTAAGTGAAGGATTTATAAGCATTCGTCTCTTCTAAGGTTTCCGGCGCTAATCGTCGATGTTCCTGACGTGCGCAGATGTTTTTCAGTTCTTTCACAGTAGTGGGCAGAGAGTCCAGGAGGAGTATTATACCCACTCCCCCAGATACTCTGATTCTTACCTTTTTTGCATTCCTTTCCGAACCGGCCAGCGGGACAATTACAACTTCCGGTCACATGATCACATGAAGCTAATCCAGGACAAGAACACGGCTGACTGCAGTTTACTCCATGAAATCCTTCTGGGCATCCTGTCAATTGATAAGAAGGAGAAAAAATTCAATTTCATGCCATTTTGATTTTGAAGACATCAAAATTCATGTTTCGTTTCCTCATTGTTTCTAATTTAAAACACGCTTTGAAACAATTTTGATCCATGTTATTTTTTTCTATCCATGTTTCTCAGGTTACAATCTGGCTTTATGGGGTCACGTTTACTTTGGGGGTTTCTCCTACTTTCGGACAACTTCTGTGACTCGCAAATACGTCGTAACATTACTCGTCTCAAGATGTAGAAAGTTTTCATGAAAACAAATCTTATTTATTCTGGGCCTTGATCAAGAAATCAATCAGAAAAAAACCTTACTAATGCTTCTAGCACGATTTTGCACGACAATACTTCCTTCTTGGTCAAATAACTAATTTCATTGGTAAAAAATACCCAAGACTTTTATCCGTAAACTATTTAGTACAGATGTATGGCCTGCGAACGACGTGTTCTAATAGCGAGAAAACCTTTACAAATATGCACAGGTAAACGAACATAGCGCGAAGGCATTCTTGATTGAATTCAGGGAGGTACCATAACTGGTATTACTGAGGTAGTCTGGATAAAGTGTTTACTTTTCTCACATGTCTCGCCGATCCAACCAGGTGCGCAGACACAAAATGCCGTCACCTGATCACAGGTCGCGTTGTGTTCGCATCTACAGTGACACTTGCCAGTCTCAGGATCGCATGACAAGTTTCCATGACAGCCACACAACTGACTGCAGTTCTGTCCAAAGTAACCATGGGGACAAACTACGAATATAATTAATAGACAACCATTACTGTGATCATTACGAAATGATAATGATATCCTGAAGCTAACCTTTATCACATCTCGATCCCATTCTTCCAGCCGGACACTGGCATTCTCCGGTATCAGGAGCGCATGAGCTGTTGACGCAATCACACTGCTGACCACAATCTACTCCATAAGTGTCATGAGGGCACTCTTAAAGAGATAAACACAATCAGTGACTTTTTACGTTGGGTGCGTTTGTTTGTTTATAAAGCATGCTTGAAACGAATTTCAATTAAATTTAGTTATTAAAAAAAAGAACAAGAGAATTATTTTGGCTGACCTAAAGAAAGGAAACTGTTGTCAGGCAACAATTACAACACAAGGTAAAAACAACCAAACTCCTCGAGAGGAAGTGGAGACGGGGGACACGTGGGAACAATACGCAACTGCTTCATTTTGAAGGTGGAGCAAGTTTTCGCGACAACTCACAGATCGTGTGAATATTATATTATAATATTACAATCGAACAATTATGACTTTCCTCGGTTTGTAGCTATCCAAACTTGGGTTTACTTGTTGGATGGTTTTTCTTTTAATGCCATACATAACAGTCTTTTAGATTTGACTCAGTACTGAACCAGTAGACGTACCCTCTTTGCAGTTTTTCCCAGTCCTTCCCGAAGGACATTTGCAGGTCCCTTCCACTGGATCACATTGCGCATCTTCAAAACAGCTACACCGCTGAGCACATCTACGACCATATGAACCTTTTGGACAAACTACAATCAAATCACTCCCGTTAAGGAATAGAGCTGTGTCTGTAGTTTCTGTTAACTGTGACCCACGGCTATGCTTATCAAAACAGCCGAAAGGATTTGCGTAACTAACATGGCAGACATGACCTCACTTGTGAAATAACAGTTTGTACCTTCGTCACATTTGTTCCCAGTTTTCCCTTTCGGACAAATACACCTGCCGCTGACCGGATGGCAACGAGCACCAGGGTCACAGCTGCAGCGACCCCTACACTTTTTGCCAAATGTTCCTTGCTCACAGACTGCAGAGAAAATCGCACGAACGCACTAGGTTACGCAGATTCTAAAAAAACGTTTAAAGACCCGTTAACTACCAAAATATTTCATGATGGCAAGCATTTGTTCTGATCACCTGGCTTAAAAAGACGCGGATGTTTTTAAATGGCCCAGTAAAATCCTCAGAAGTTTACTCACCCTTCTCGCACCTAGTTCCAGTCCTTCCTGCGGGGCAGATACATTCACCGCTGACTGGATCACAGCGGGCTCCACCAACGCATCGACATTTATTTAGACACTTTCGCCCGTACGTTCCCGTTGGGCAGACTAGAAAACACAGAAACTCTTGGTACGATTGCACGCAGATACATATGCAACGAGAAGCGAGAAACTCGTTCAGTTAACTGATCAAACATGCTGTAAGTAGCGTCGGATTAATGCATTCCACGAAAAAACTGTACTTACACCGGTCGCAACGTCTGCCGGTTCTTCCTTCAGCACACACGCATGCCCCTGACATGGCATCACACTTGATCCCCTCTGCGCAGTCGCAAACTTGGTCGCAGTTAAAACCGTACCGGCCCTCAGGGCATACTGTAAAATAGAATCATCATAAAACATGAAACTGTGCAAGTTTAATGTTTGAAATAGGAGGTAGGGAGAAATTATTTGGGACGAATCTGGTTAAACGAATCAAAAAGAAATCAAAATTATTGCATAAGGGTGACACCCATCTGGCAAAGGAGATCAAATGTTCAAAATTTGCTGGGTGTTTTCAAGTTTAGCACTCCCCATAAATAAAATATTTGTCTCGAGTTTACTCTGCTGAAATAGTTGGTTATCAAACCAATCAGGAGAAGGGACATTTTTTCAGGAAATGTCCGATGATTTCAAAAAATAATATTGCTCCAAGACTTTTGCAGAGAGAGAAAAAAGGCGTTATTTTACCTTTGTCACACCTGGCTCCCATTTTTCCCATGGGACAAATACAGGAACCAGTTACGGAATCACATGTCACACCATTACTACACTGACACCGCTGGCTACATCCGTGACCAAAAGTACCTTGGGCGCATACTACACGAAGAAAAGGAGAGAACAAGGGAAATAAAATTACATTCTCCGATAATTTTTCCATTTCACCTGTCGTCGTACAAACAACATGCGGTGATTTCTTGTGGGCTGCAACACACAACTTTACTGATAGCTTAACAAGCACAACAACAAAAGCGTGACATGAGCTCTACTTTTTTGAACATACGCAAACAGTCTAGAACATTCCTGAATGATTACGTTATATACTAGTTGTAGAACACTAGCAAATCGACAGTACTTTAGCGTGGTCTGTACTCTTATCGACAAAGAAATTAGTCATCAAAGTGGACAAAATGTTATGGAGTTCCGGGGCGCAGCCAAGTGAGTCCTGAACAAATACCCGGTTTTAATTGGCAATTCATTTAAGCCTACTTTGACTTCTGTGGTGGCCTCCTTCGCATTTATCTCAGTTGATATTGCGTCCGTAAGTTTTGTTCCCCAGCCTTACAGAATGCTATCATATGGCTTTTGTGCACCTACTCCGAATGCGATGTTTACTTTGAAAACGGAGGTATGGATAATTACGTAGCATAAAGCTTAGGAAAGTTTTAGTTGAATGTCTGGTTCTATCTCGCCTAGATTTTAATGATATAATATTTTATCCAATTACTGATTGCCTTTTAAAAAGGTTACAGCGCATCCAGTTTGCGGCAGCCAGTTTTGTCTTTGGACGCTATGTGAACAATATTTACTCTATTCTTAAGTTAGGTTGACTGTCTATGAAAGAACGTAGAGAATGGCACGTTCTAAAGGCCGCGCACAAAGCTATATACTCTCATGATTTGCCCAGAAACCTTATTATTATCAATTTTCACCCAAAACTGATTTATGGTATTTTCCGAAGTGAGTTATGATAAAGTATCTCAAATCCACTTCAAATTTTCGTGTGGTCAGGATGGCCGAGCGGTCTAAGGCGCCAGACTCAAGGCGGGAGACCTTTACCATGACAAGTGGTAGTTAAGATTTCTGGTCTCCAAATGGAGGCGTGGGTTCGAATCCCACTCCTGACACACTCTACTTTTTTTAAATTCATTTTTATTTTCTACGCTGACAGCAATTCATGTTATTCATCTTTTGATAAATTGTATCTTTGTGGTGAAACTTGTACAGGAAAAAACGTTTTAAAACGATTTTGAATATGAAATATGTTCTAAATTATCAAAATAAAGAACAATAAGTAAGAATAGCAAAAGCCTGTGGGAGGGCGGATGGTTCGTGCGAAGGCGCGCGCTAGGTGTTTTTTTTGCCTGTCTGTCTCCTGCCTTTTGGCTGTTTTTTCGCTTCATCTGCGGTTGTTAAGCAAGCTGTGTAATACGTTTTTAAGGCCGTTTCCTTGTTTACAACATCCACTGAACATTTTACGGAATACGTCTTCTCCTACCTTTTTGACAATTTGGTCCAGTCAAACCCGCTGGACAAGTGACATCACACGTACCGTGCACGTGATCACATTTCCAAGATTCAGGACAGTTGCATCTTCTTACGCAGTATTTGCCGTAAGTTCCATCAGGACATTCTATAAATATATTTATAAAGAGGAGAAGTTAAAAAAAAAGGAGACAAGAAAAATGATGCTTGCTACACATGGGTTTTCTTCCCCAATATATGAAACAAGAAAATACCCGCAGCTTTAACTCCTCTTTGTAATAAGTTACTAAACGAAAACTTACTGTCTGAGCAGTGTTTGCCTTGGTAACCAGGCTTACAGTGGCATGTGCCATCCTCAGGTTGGCACCTTTCTGTTTGATCAGCCAGGCACCTGCATTTTTCCCTGCATCCTGCTCCAAAAGACCCTGGAGGGCACACTGCGAGGGAACCATTATTACAATAAAACCAGGAGCAAAAATCAGTTTCAACACCGTATTGAGTAACATTTACCTTTTGAGCAGCGGGTTCCGAAGAATCCTGGGTCACACTGGCACGTGCCAGTTACCGGATGGCAAGGTTCCATGTGAACGCACGCGCACTTCTGCTTACATTCTTCTCCGTAGAAACCGGTGGGACAAGCTAGCGTGAAATGTATCGAGAACGTTAGACATTTCTGTTCATCATTGTCATTGAAGGAGAAGGTTCCAAATTCGAAACCAATAAGGAAACATAAGATTTGTAAGGAGGAAAAATTGATGTGAGGCAAAGAAAATATTCTTGCTGAATAATTGAAAACTCTCGCCACTTCCTCAATACTAATGCAAATCACGACTTGGTCCCTCGAGTTCTCCCGCTTCAGGCAATTTGTTTGTTTTTACTTTTAATCCTTAGCAGCTCCTTGGGACTCTTTTTTTGCACGATAGTTCGATAGTTGACATACCATCGTGCACAAGTGACGCTTACTATCCAATTGCATAACATTTATACTGTTCCATAATATCGTCTATTTGCAAGTATGACGGTCCTATTAGTGCTAATATCTGGCTGCTTAAAGCCAATCACGCTCGAATATTTCATCATAGCTTTGATCAACAGAGTTTGCATTCATACAGTCCTCATCACCAACACTTCAAGCAAATAATAAATGAGATATCTACAAATCCTCGCTAGGCGGTCATGTGACACTTACTTTGATCACACAGGTCTCCCAGGAATCCCGGTCGACAAGAACACGCACCAGTCACGTGATTGCACTGCGCATCATTTTTACACAAGCATTTAAATTTACAGTCTTTTCCAAATCTTCCTTCCGGACATGCTATCATAAGGAAATAATGATAAAAAGGGTGTAAGTGAAGTTTAATTTGAATATTGGCTAAAGCTAAATTGCCTCACCATTATGCCATGAAATGAAGAATACCAAGTACAAATGGCAGAGAGGTTGGAATGTATTGCAAATGGTACTTAGCTTGTTAGCGCTCGTGTTTTTCCGCCAGCAGGAGGATTGGAGACGAGTCAAGGAGAGATTTATTGAGTGTTTGGCACAAGTGCCAGGCCTCTTGAAGACCTCTCGCTAACTCGCGTTTTCAAGGCCTTAAACTTCCCCTTGTGAAAAACACACCTACCAAAGCGCATTAGAATAAAGAGGGCCAACTCGTACTGCTAAAGGATACTCTTTTGTCGTTTCACTATAATTCTTAACTCAAATCCAATTCCTTGTTTTAGCGCGCCACCCAAGGAGGGTAGTTCCCACACAATAACCAAGGCCTATAAATAATTATATAATAGCCGACCTCTATATGTCCTTTTCGTGTTTACTTTTTTGAAGTGATTCTCTTTTACACATGGTGCTGGTCTTACTAATAGAAATCAGAAACAATGACCAGATTTTTTAAAGGAAATTGAATCTATTCCACTTAGAATGCAAGCATTTGATGGAATCATACATTTTGGAAATTCAACAAGGAATGCTCAAGTGTTTCACATTACCCGGATAACCTGCAGTATTGTAGCTTATTTCGATTTCTTTGGCAGGAAGTGACTAAAAGTAGAGCGATTCCTCTTGAATTTAGAGCTAGTCCATCACATTTACCCTTCAGCTTTAACAATCGACCATAACCCATTCATACTATTCAGTGAGGAAAGGTAACATAGGAGAAAGCTGGCCTGGCTAAGAACACAAGACAATGACGCCGGTTAAAGTTCTAAACAGAGCTATTTAAACCCCAGTAGAGTGTAATAGACATACAGCTACTACGTTTAAGTTTCGATAATTTCATACTCACAATCGTCGCATAAAATTCCGGTCCAGCCCGGAGAGCAAAGACATTGTCCAATTCTGATGTCACACCGCGCACCGTTTTGACAGTCGTCGCATGTCATACGACAGCCAGGACCAATGTACCCTGGAGGACAGGCTGAAAGAGAAAAAGAAAGGAGAGATTATTGGGAACTTAAGCCATGGCGTACACGAGCCAGGACCCTGGACTCGAGAGGAGCTTCAGTTCCCTTGTTGATGTTAAAGCACACCAGATATGGCTGTCCTCTCCTTTCAGTTGCCGTCAGTATCTTTAAAACCCTTCTGCTTTAAAAGTTTCGTTTGATGTATTTAGAGATTTAGATCCATGTTTATCATTCTATCAGAATCAGGTCCTGTGCAAGAAGCGTGATTTTATGCCTGTACCTTGGACTCCTTGTAAGTCTTTTCTTTGCGCATTGCTGGTGTCTTTGATGAACTTGGGACTTTTTAATGGACGCTCAGTGAAAATTTGTGAAACTAAGAGGAAAAAAGTATTAACTTCAATAACAATCCCTTATCATCCAACTGTACTTCGTAGAGCACAAATAACGCGCGAGACGAGTACAAATATCACACGATACACGATATTTGTACTCCAGAAATATCCGCGAAATTCGCCCGCACTGAAATAATAATTTGGCGTGTTGGATAATAAACCTCCTACTAATAGTTTTATTGTGTAGTATCACTGAGTATTTTCACTCATTGTTCGGTATTTTGACGAGCCCGTAGGGCTCGTCAAAATACAGCAGAGATACTACACAACAAAATGTCTAATACGATATATTTGTTCATAGGTAAATTTGGTCAGTTAGTCATTTAGTCAGTCATTCGGTAAGTAAGGCAGTCAGTCATTCAGTCATTAAGTCAATCAGTCATTCAGTAAGTTAGTCAGTCAGTAAGTCAGTTAGTCAGTCAGTGAGTCATTCAGTAAGTCATTCAGTAAGTCAGTCAGTAAGTCAGTCAGTCAGTCCTTCCATCAGTCAGTCAGTCAGTCATTCAGTCAGTAAGTCAGTCAGTCATTCAGTAAGTCATTCAGTCAGTCATTCAGTCAGTCAGTCATTCAGTCAGTCAGTCATTCAGTCAGTCAGTCATTCAGTCAGTCAGTCATTCAGTCAGTCAGTCATTCAGTCAGTCAGTCATTCAGTCAGTCAGTCATTCAGTAAGTCAGTCAGTAAGTCAGTCAGTCAGTCCTTCCATCAGTCAGTCAGTCATTCAGTAAGTCATTCAGTCAGTCATTCAGTCAGTCAGTCAGTCAGTCATTCAGTCAGTCATTCAGTAAGTCATTCAGTCAGTCATTCAGTCAGTCATTCAGTCAGTCAGTCAGTCATTCAGTAAGTCAGCCAGCCAGTCAGCCAGCCAGTCAGTCAGCCAGTCAGTCAGTCAGTTAGTCAGTCAGTTAGTCAGTCAGTCCGTCCATCAGTCAGTCAGTCAGTTAGTCAGTCAGTCAGTCCGTCCATCAGCCAGTCAGTCAGTTAGTCAGTCAGTTAGTCAGTCAGTCAGTCCGTCCATCAGTCAGTCAGTTAGATAGTCAGAAGGTCAGCTAGTCAGCCGCCAGTCAGTCAGTCAGCAGACCAGTCCAAAACTGTCACAACTTATTCTATTACTTGATTGATCTTTTTTTCTTTTTTTTTTTAAAAAAGTCGTTTTTACACTTTGAGGTACACCATCTACGAAACTCACCTTTGCATGATCGTTGATCTGAATCTAACTCATAGCCTGCTTGGCGGCAAAAACATTGAAAAGAGCCAAGAGTATTTTGACAGCCTTGACTACAACCAGATATGCCCTGAAAGAAAACGTAGAAATAATTTGTCGCTAGCGATTGCAGGCATCGCGAGTTGAATCTTTCATGAGCCTCACCATCTTACACTCATCCAAGTCTACACATTGTCGGGGTTTCCCAGGCACGCTTACGTAACCACTGGCACATTCGCACCTACGAAATAAATTGCCAGATAAAATGTAAGGTTTAATGGACGATGCTTTAAAATGGAAACCACACACGGTATGCTAGAAACATAATTACATAAACCTCGAGTTAAGTAATTTATTGTGCTCGGCCGACCGATTAAAGCCGGAAAAATAAATGAGAGAAAAGTGAAAGATCTGACAACGTTTACGAAGCATTGGTTTTTCTACGACAGAATATAAGCTCATCTTTATTTGATCTAGAATAACAGACATATGATACCTGTATGATCCAAAGGCATTGATACAGCGTTGTTGACACATTCCGTTCCGCACAGAGCACTCATTAAAATCTGTAATAAACGAACAGGAGACTAAATTATTGAGAACAACTCGTGGATTCATTAAACATGAAAGTTAACATTTACTTTTCTTTCACCTGTTTAAAATTTTCAAGCTCATCCAATCGAATTTCTTCCAAGCTTTACGTCATCAAATTTCCAGTCCAGTACTTTTCGGCATCCAATTAATGCCACCTTATGTTTCCATAGATTTTGGACGAGTTTTATTAATGGCAACGAGTTGGAAATTCCTTTTGTGTGAATCATAAACATAACGTTTACCTTATGTAGCTATTCCGTGGTATTCGTGAGCAACAATGCTTGTGCAGAAGTTGCTAATTGAGCCCTATCGCTTTTGAAAAACTAAAACTTGTGCTTTCGTGTTGGTACATTGGTTTACCGTAACGTCATCCTCGTAAGAACTCATTTCACCCTTGTAGAGGCCTGGTCATATTGGAATTTGAGAAAATCCAAGTAGTGCGTAGAAGCGCTGAATCAGATGATCTGAGAATCAATTTCTCATGTGAACTTAGAATTATTGCCTTTTCCCACGTTTGTGATGAGACGAAGAACAAAACATATTTCCATATCGTTCTATCATAGTGTTGACGGCTGACATGACGGAAGCGCGTGCACGCCATCTGTTTCATCATTGTAGTATCTCAAGTTCGTTGTCTTATTCATCTCAGAATCGAAAGGTCTTAAATCTGATACATCTTGACGTCGCTGTTCTTGATCGTAGACCCAAAACAAAAATGGGTTCCGTGCGCCAGATTGCGTTTTTAAAGACAATCATTTTTACAAGATATGCTTCATTATATGGAAAAGACCAAACAAAGGCCTATGGACTATTACATGATAAGCTATGTCATACACGCATATCGATTGGTTGTTACTTATGATCTATTGGAGGGCAGAGAGCATAAGTGACGTCACCAGGAACAGAATTTTGCTTTTTTTTTTATTACATTAAACAACTGGATTTCTTATTGCCGCGCGTCTGTTTAGCAATAGATCACAGAAGACATCGAGATGTGGTAATCACATCAGTGGCACACTCAGCTGCGCCTCGTGTGCCACTTTGTTTGTTTTTAACTCATTTTGACACCATCTGTAATCTGTTACTGAACAGATGTACTGCAACATGGATTCTTTTGCTAATTAGGAATCCATTCTGTATGTAGTGTATTGCGTTACGTTAGGTCACATAGCCGTTACCACTGTAAGTAACTTCCAATCATGGCGTAAATCTACTATCTTAAGTGAACGTAAAATAACCGATTACGAGTATTGTATGGTGAATATATTACCTTGATTACTGAATAAAGGACAGTTGAATTAGAGGTACGAGAGTGATCACTTGACTAATGAATACTCTACAAACTAACGACGAGGATGGGATACGCGTGCTACACTGAAAGATCGTGAGAGTTTCGGCTCCATTAACTGAGGTAGCTCTTAGAATCTGTCAGTGAAAGCTGTAATCAAGAGGCTTGTTACGACCACAACCCATAATATCTATGTAATGAACAAACAAAGTAAAGTAGATTTATGCGAAAAAATAATATTAAGGTAACAACTGAAATAACAAACACCGCACTTTAACAAGACAGCTCGTCAGAACTGAAGAGATTCAGAAAATGCGTCATGAAACCCAAAAAACGAAGAGTACGAAAACGATGGGCAATGTTCAGTGCTCACGTTTGAAACATAAAGATCTCCAGAACCTGCCATTGCTGCCAATCACAGAAAACGTAGCTTTATGCGAAGCATACCTTGGACTCTCAGGCCGAACAAATGTTTATATAGCGAATTATATTTTTATACTGAGCAGAAAAGTACTTTAAGAAATAATTCTAGGTAGCTTTCTATTATGAGTGTGATTAGAGGTATGCGAGCATCATGGAATTCACCCCTTACCCCCAAGGCTTGTCTCTGTATCGAGGTTATAACAAAAGTTGCAAGTAGTAATTCTTCCGGTCAGAGAATCTTGTTTGTGTCACGATGGCATTTACCTGATCACCCCATAGGGCCATGTAATATCCTTATATTCACCCCTCATTGGCAGTTAATTGATGGTCAATTTTCCTAAGTTCCTTCTTCAAACTCTTTTGACAGATTCCCCCTCTGTTCCCCTGAAAACCACACCAAACCCCTCCTCCCAATAAAAAATCTCCCGACCTATGACTGATTCCTTACCCGGTTTAGCCAGGGTCTGAATCATCTTGGGTGCTGACAACTTATGTCGCCGTAAGTTTCAGGTTGAAATTAATCCTTCAAGGCTCTTAGAGGTTAAAGAGGATAAAAGGCGATGAGTATATTCTTTTTCTACTCAGTCACGAGAAAGTATAAATAAATAGTTCAAGAAAATGTTAATTCTTGGATCCGTGAAAAAGCTTGCGGGATTTTTTTCCACCAGCACTCGGCGGACCATGAAGACTTGCTTTTAAAAGGAACCAGAGTTTGATAGACACCATCAATTCGTCACAAAATAAATACGTTTCTAAGAGTCTGTCTAAAATATATCGTATTTCTCCCGAGGAAGCTTGTTATGATATACACAAGCAAAGTATTGTAAACAACAGAAACTTTCTCCACGAAATTTGAGAGCACTAGCCTTCGTCAGCAGCCTAAGTTCTAATGACAGTCATAAACCTGGAAGTGGGAGACATAATGTGAAAAGGTTTTAAACTATTCCATAATCACTCCAAGTCAAACAAGGCTGTTCATTTAAGCCGTATTCGTTTTGTAATGCCATCTTCACATAAACAAATATATGTTTAGTTAAACCAGGTTTAACTGAACAAAATTCAGCATTAGACAACTGAAAAACTAATTTTGGAAAAAATCGAATAGCTCGTTATCCTCTATCTTCATTTTGCTAAATTCTGAGTAGAAAAACATCAGTTTAAGCAGCTTTTTCGGAGAACACAATTTCAAACTACGTTTTGAGAAAACGGCTTTGGTGTGAATAGAGTGTCGGTCTGTGTGGAGGCGCGATAACTGTTCGCAAAAGTCTATCCTTGAGGTGATACAACACGATTTTTGAGTCCTCTGTAACCTTATTTCAAGCAACCGCATCTAAATTAACCCCGCTGCCACTCAACTGAGCCAACATGGCGTGACGACCGGACTTGATCTATCAACCGACAAGTAACTGTCATCGCCGAGCCAAAGCAGAACCGTGATCTTAATAACGTCTGTCAACTACTTATGGCTAAATTAGATTAATAGGTAGTTTGTGCACGCGCATATGGCTAACAGAAGTTCCTCTTTACCATTCTGTCCCACCAAACTTCAATGAACTCCTAGAAACATCACTGTGTATGAAGAAACTTTAAAAAAAAAGGAAGGAACTGCATTACGCAGAATAACACCGGCTTTGAAAAGATAATTTGGTGAAATCTATAGATATTTTTTTGAGGAAAAAGCTGAAAGGAATAAGAAAAGTTACATGAGGCAGCGGGAGCCATGTAGTTTCATTGGTTTACACCGATTTAGCTTTGATTTGCAGTGAATCTTCGATTTACTTCCACCGTGACCAGAGACCAGGTCGTGTGGCAGCCTATACAAATAACGACTGCGGTATAATAAGTTGCAGTTCAATGTCAGATAAGTTACAGCTGCGAAGAGATTATACGCTGTATCCTCAGGCTCCTCGTAATCCTTTAGATAATTATCTTAAGGAAGATAATCACGGGATAACACTGCCTGCAGAAAGATCGTTTGACAGAGAACAGGGAACAAAATCTCTCGTGAAAGGTCTTATGTTTCTAAATACGCCTAAAGGGCAAATATGTAGAAATAATTACTGCGATTTCACCTAGCTTCGGTAAAAAACATTCCTTTAAATCAAATGATTCTCGAAATATCGATTTGAGTTGTAGAAATGGACCTCGCCTGGGTTCAGTTTAAATACATCCCTTTTCAATCGTAACATATGAATTTCTTGTAATAGAACCGTTAAATTGGTGTTGTAGCGACGATCTTATCGCGATTTATATAGCTATACTCAATTCATAACTTGTCATGTCTTGTTATCATCAAGTTTTTAAAAGCTTTCGAGGACGATTGCCACAAGAATGATGAATTATGATCTACCAACAATTTGATTTCATCGCGCGCGAAATTAAGCCCCCTGCTATTTTATGCCTGCGGTCGACTGAGATGTCAGTACAACGTTTCTAGTAATTAATTGAAATCAAAACAAGCACGTTTTTCCGTTCCCTTAAAATAGTTTGAAGTGAATGTAAATTAGAGCAAAAAAAACCCCGAGATTATTGTTTTTGCCATCGAGAAGAACAAACAAAGATGTCTGAACTACACTGCGACACATGTTGACATTCATAAAGGGTCAAAGAAACATTCTGTTGATAGAGTTTAGCGCGCACAATAGGTTGTTCTTAAATGATTTCCTGAATTCAGCAGTGTTAATGTTTATAGTGCTTGGCAATGCGGAAATTTTCAGGCCCTTTCTTATTCTAAATCATACTACAAGTTTTGAAGTTTCGAAATCACTTGTTTTAAAGCTTACCTCTGCATTGACAGCGGTTAACAAGCCTGAAACCTCTTCTGCAGATGCAACGAATTCCTGCCAAAGTGTTTATACAGCCATGCTCGCAACAAGATCCGTCGAATCCTGAACATTCTACAAAGATGTAAAGGAGAACCACAAGCCATACAACGATCTCGCGAAGAGAATTCATTTTTCCAACAATTTTGTGCCAAGTTTAGGACTAAGTGGTTACCGAACAAATGCGACCAAGTCGGTAGTGGCTGGCTTTTCTAGACACGCAAACCGGAAATTGATAGATGCCCTCAATAGATTCATGAAGTTAGTGCTTACTTCTGAAACCTTAGCCCTCTTTTAAACTAAACAGACCTGACAATTGTCAGATTCATGTACAAAAAACATAAACATTGTAACGCCCCTTTGAAGTGCACCGATTTGAGCCAAGCAGCCTCAGTTTACGGAAATCGATACATTTTAGAAGTAATTTTCGGTTCTAGCGGGACCGGTGTGCGACAAATGTATCTTACTCTGATGCATCATGATCATTCCTAACGCTAATTGATGAATTAGCACTGACTGACTCAAGTCTTTGAAGTCTTCAAACACCGCGTAATAAAGGAAGAACTCCCCGCAGTTTTACGCATTTTGTCGGATACTGAAAAGATTTTCTCCACATGTCAGACTTCGGCAAGGGAACCGAAACGCAGTATCCATCGTCAGCGCAAGAGAGCTGTTTCCTTGATTTTACCCTAGGATATTCAGCCCCCACCGAGGTAAGTGGGTGGGGGGAGGGGGGTGTTTCTGAATTAAAGTGGATGGGTCCCCTTAGAAAAGATGGATTTTGGAGGCATCACATGGTTATCAAGGGGATCAGAAGGAAGGATCCGTCCTTGTAAACAGAGTATCAAGGGGGCCACTATGGAACATCGACTGCCAATGGGGGTATCACTAGAATTTAATTACGTCACTTCACCGCCGGGTGATGCCTGAAAATGGCTGGTCTGTAAAGTCTAGTTTGTGTCTGATTTTGAGAAACTGCCTTAAAAATGTCTCCTTACAGTAAAACACAGTTGCAAATAGGGGCTTGAGCTAGATGAAAATAGATGGTGATTACCGAACAAATAGCTGTTTGTTCAATCGCGCGTTTAGGCTCCCGCCATTTCAAAAGGCTGGGTCACTATGCATTTGCGGCCTGGTTACATGGCATCGTCAACACAGCGGTCAAACACTGCGCATGCAGTTGACCTTGAAAACAATGAGAAGGATTCTGAACGCGTGTCTAGCGTTAAGGGAGGAAGAAAAGGTTAAATTCCGAACGATTTCAATGCCTAAGGCAACTGAAAGAAGGATTTTTGGGAAAGATTAAATCTTGGTCTTATTTTATTGTAAGATATCCCAATTTTATTTTAACGCGGACGCTTCGTTTCGGGGATGAAGACAAATGAAAGAATCTCTTGCTGAACAGTCTACTTTCCGCTGTAAATACAGACCTGCTATCGTATCTTGCGCCGCTCGTATCTTGTCCCGGGGTTTATCTGCAACTCCACCATGAGCACAACAAAGCCAGCACAGTCAAGTTTACCGACGACTTCATCACGCCGCCACGTAAAAAAAAAATACTAGAGTGTAAACTAACACAAAGTGGGTAAAGTCTAGAACAACGTTGTGTATAAGTCTCGGTCTTAGGAACTTCGAACCTTCCCTAGAAACTGCTGAAAACTACGTCTCACTTAAATTCTCCATGCTTATAATAGCAAATTATCCATCTACTGCAGTCATATGACCGCTGTGTTGGTAGATTGCGTCGTTGAATTTATAAATTGAGTAACAAATTCGATAGTCTGTGTTATTCTTTACTATCTCAAGACGGGGTAGTTGTATAATCACATTTTTATTATTTTTTATTTTTGTCATAATCATTGTTGGCAGATGTGACATTCATGGTTTCTCTCTCTGAAGTGCTCTTTCTTCGGCGGGTCCACTTTAATTAAGTTGTTTTGGTCAAGTATTTGAGTTTTTTCATGAGGAACCATTATCCTCCTCTATCTTTTCCTTGCCACTGCAACATGTGCTAGCGAGAGATTGTAAACTGTCTCTAATCTCTTTCTTGTAATTTTTCGGTGCAAGAGAATAGGAACGGTTTGGTGCTAAGTGTCAGGTAACGCGGCTTCTGGAATTATATTGTGAAACGAGTTAGATCATGAACTCCTACTCTCCAACGATTCCAAACGAAGGACCGAAGCAAACATAGATGACGGAGAATTTAGCTGAAATTCATCGCAACCTCGTTCCCAGGGTCCCATCTCTTCCTCTCCCGAGAAAGGGTCATGGTTGACTGGTCACGTGTCTCCCAGAATTTGAAAGATTACAAAATAAAAAATAAATAAATAAAGAAGAAAGAAAATTCATGCTCGTTCGTAAAATTTGTTTTCAATAGTAATTATAACTGGATGGGTAAAGGAAACATTTTTCAACGAGCAATTCCCGCTTTGGCCAAGTGAGTTGAAAAAGCATTCATTTGCACCGATGATACGATTAAGTCGAGGAGCCACCCTCCTTACGTTGTTCTTTGATCTGTAAAGACGTGTGATCTACATACGTGCATACATACATACATTCATTTTATTGTATGTATGTAACCGCCTCCCGGTTAGCTCAATGGATAGACCGCTGGATTGTTGTGGGAGAGGTCGAGGGCTCGAGCCCCTTGCCGGACCAACACTCAGGGTCTTAAAATAATTGAGAAGAATATGCTACCTTTCCATAACATCGAAGAAATGGTTAGATATTCTAGTCTTCTCGGATAGGGACGAACAGGGTTAGGGGTAGGAGACGTTAATTTCCCACGCACGAGATTACTATGTGGTGGGTTTACTGGGCTTGCGGTAATTGGCGCAAGCTGTCGCGGTGTCCCTGCCTGTCGGAGAAGTTAAATAAATTTAATTAAATTAAAATTAAATAGGGCTTTACAGCATCAATATTAAAAAGAAAATTAAATAAATAAAGGAATTAATTAATTATGTCATTAATTGATAAAAACTGAACTATGTAAAAACTATCTACAAGGATAACTGAGGGATAACTAAATACAGTGATTATCATCTAACCTAGTTCATGGCACAAATTATAGTTCTTTGATTAAACGTCTGTTTAAAGCTTTAGTATTTGTTATTTCCTTGAGGTCTTTGCTTAAGTTATTCTATATTTTCACGCCATGGTAATAAAAGGCGCGTTGGCCAGCAGTGATTCAACAATCATCAGAATATTGATATAGGTTTCTATATCTTGTCTGCCTGTTGTGAATAGTAGCTCGAGTTGAAAATCTGTCCGACAAGTAGCTAGGTGACAGTCCTTGAAGACATATACGTATCATAACTGCATCATTGACCATAAGTCTTTGTTTGACATTAAGCCATCGAAGTGATCTCCAGCAGTATTCATCATAGGAGAGGCATTGATCTAGAAACACTCCAGGATCCTTTGCTACAGGTCTTGGTAATATTGGTTTAGCACAAAGTGTTATCGTAAAACCAGGCAATCGTTGTAGCAGTTGCGGCACGCCTATCACAAGAAGTTTGGTTTTATCGTCATCTTCATCCTTGGATTATTGGATTGATCAATATAACAGAGTCCTTACCATACTTGAGACTCATGCTCCATTGCAAACCAAGATAGTTACTTTGCGTCCCGCTGCACCTTGGTATTCTGAAGAGATAAATAATTTAAAGAGATCCCGTAGAAAACTTGAACGACGCTGGCGAATGACCAAACTTCCTTCTGATCGTAAGTTCTTTATTGAAGGATGTGATGCTGTCAACAACTTAATTCGTGACTCCAAGAAGATTTATTTCGCATCATTAATCAATGAGAATCAGTCAAATTATAAACAGCTTTTTAAGATAATTGATAAACTACTACAAAGGAAAACAGATATTCAATATCCCCCCTGCAAATCGCCCACTGATCTTGCT